CCCGGTATACCCCGTAGTGTGTTTTCCGTTACGCTTTGGAAAATCCCAGGAGCGACATTCACTCCGAACTGTAACCTCTTTACCTTAAAGGCCCCTCTGTGGGTCACAATAGTCTGAGCTGTAGCAGCATCATCATCAACAGGCAGCTGTTGATACGCTTGAGCTAGGTCAAGCTTTGCAAAAACACACCCCCCCTTGAGGGAGGCCAGAATATGACTGACCACAGGAACAGGATAGGCATGTTGCTGCAATGCCTTATTCAGAGTGCATTTGTAGTCAGCACAAATGCGAATGTCCCCATTTGCCTTTAGAGGCGTGACAATGGGGGTCTCCCAGGGACTGGAATCAACAGGCTCCAGAATTCCCTGTTGGATCAGTTTGTCCAACTCAGTGTCAATTTTACTCTTTAAAGCAAAAGGGACCCTTCTTGCTTTAATTCTAATGGGAGTGACAGTGGGGTCTAGTTTTAAGGACACAGGGGGTCCTTTGAATGTGCCCAGCTGGGGGCTGAAAACATCTGCAAATTCTTTGCAGACTTCCTGTAGGTCGAGTGTTTGTAGGCTGTTGAGCCCCGTGACGTGTATCCCCAAGGCCTCAAACCAATCGAGTCCTATGAGACTCGTTCGTTCACCCCCTACTACTAATAGGTCTAGTGGACCTTCAAAATTCTTATACTGTACATTAAGGGTGGCCTCCCCCTTAACACACACTCTCAAATTTTGAAAGTCTGTTAGCAAAATGTCAGAAGGCCTTAACTTGGCCTGAGTTCCACTGCCGGAACAAATCTTCCTAAATGTATGCAAAGAGATGATTGAAAGTGCAGACCCCGTGTCTAGTTCCATAGTTAATGGAACCCCTTGTAGCTTCACCTTAAGTGACAGCTTTTTCTTAATGGGCTTGTGTGTGCCTGTCCTAAAGATGCTTCTTCGTGAAGCGCAAAACCCCACCCTATTCTGGCTGGGGACCCTGGTACCTTTCAGGCGCAATTCTTCCTGGGGTTGTACCTTTCGTCGGCCCAGGCACACAGCTGCAATGTGTCCTTGTTTTCCGCACGCCCTGCAGATAGCAGAGCGGAACTTGCAGTCGGTTCTCCTGTGGCGACCTCCACAGCCGATGCACTTGGGGAGAGCTGAAGAGCTTCCTTTCTGGTTCCCTTCCTTTGTGGGGTGGAGACGGTCGACTTCCTCGTCCGGATCCTCCTCGGAGTTCCCTTGGATTTCTTCTTGGTGCACAGATGCAACATCTGGACTGTTCCTGATCGGCCGCATGTTCTTGATGGCGCCGCCTGCTGCTTCTTCTGCGGTGACCTCTCTCAAGGCATCTTGGAAAGACAAGTCCTCTTTGGCAAAAAGCCTCTGTTGTAGCTCTCGATGCCTTAGCCCGCACACGAATCGGTCCCTCAGTCGTTCTTCGAGGTCCTTGAATTCGCAGTGCTTGGCGGCCTTCCTCAATGCGGCAATGTACTCTTTGGCCGATTCTCCAGATCGTTGATCCCTCTGCTCGAAGGTGTGGCGCCATGCGATGACGGACATCTTGGGCTGGAAGTGCTCCTTCAGTAGCTTTTTTAGATCTGCGTAGCTGACAGACTCTAGTGGGACAGGTGCTGCAAGGTTCTCCGCGATTTCGAAGGCGTCTTGACCGCAGACACACAGCAGGGTGGCAGCCTTCAAGCTATCTTCCCTCACTTGGTTCACCTTGAGGTAGTTCTCCACCCTGGCTACGTAGGACTCCCACCTCTCTGGATGTGAGACGTCGAACTCCGAAAGCCTTCCAATTTTTGCCATTTTAGGAGACGGGTCTATCAGACAGCCTACCCCCGAATGCGCACTGGATTGGCAGGTAGCTGCCGAGTCAACGCCGCTCCGCCGCTCAGGACTCACTTGGGTAAGCTTACACCTCTTTCTTTTCTGTTGATGTAAGGCATCCCACCTTCGTCACCAGTGTTGCGTCCCTCGCGAAATGGCAAGACACGAGAAGCAGTTGTAGTTCTCAGATTTGCTTTATTCTTCATTCAGCTTACAGATTGAATGCTCCGGCAACGTCCAAAACTCCCGGCCTCTTATATAGGCCTTCCCCGGGTCAATGTGTTACTTTTCACGCGCCAGCATCCGCGCATGCGCACAGGCGCTGGCGACAGCCTGTCTGGTTCCGGGCAGCTTGCACCTGCCCGGGACCGCCTGCAAACACCCCGAGCCCGTTTGCAAGGCTCAGGACATAACAGGTTACAAACAGCATCAAGAATGTATTGACACAATGGTCATGAAACATAATGTCTTCAATCTTCTCTTTGTGTTTGCAAGTGTCTCAGTTTGAATTATTTTTGTTTTTCCTACAGGTACAAGTCAGAACCTGCCTATGTAGTTCTTGGGTATCCTAAAGAGAAATGAAGATGAATACTACCTTATGATTTGGAGCCAGAACAGAAAAAAATCCCATGGTCCACAGCTCTTTTTTCATGTAAAAACACAGATGATTATTGTCTTGTTCGCTTCAAGTCAGGATTCAGAAGGCTGAGTCAGACAATGGTATGGAGCCATGATCTCTGAAGTATATCTGCAACAAGGATAGATTATTCTTTATAATCAGAAAGTTTGGTAATGAAAGGTAAGTTGAACTCAATTGCTCATATGTGTGCCTATTTCTACCACATGTTCCAAAGAATTCAACACAACATTGAAAACTGACTGTGGTCAAAGGAACATGATTGTTCATTACCTGTTATAGAAAACTCTGCAATTCTTTGTTTAAAAAGATGTGTAGGAAGTCAGCACCCTCCCTTCCCCCGAGAATGAAATATTTTGGGGAATATTAAAAAGAGGCAGAATATTATATACCCCCCCAATGGAGAAAAAAAGGCAGAAAGCAGCTCCAGGAAAACAGCTTCAAACTAAGAAACCTGAAGAGGTTGGGCTTTAGGACTGCAGATTTTCTGATCTATTCAGAAAAACTTGGCCAATCTATTCATACACAAAATGCCTTCAGCCCTCACAACTGATGGGATTAAGAATTTACATTCCCCGACCCAGCTCCAAGGATGGGACATGACTTCCCAGCCACAATGGGAGTCAGGCAACAATAATTAGAATACCAAAAGGGCACACTCAAGCACAGATCAAACTACATTTCACAACAGGCATCTCAAACACAAAGCCCCAAAGAAGATATAAAAATCTTCTTTTTTTCAGCAGAACTGCATGATGTTGCTGGTTCTTCTCATTAATAAACAAGAATCTTCTTTCCTAAGCAACCTCTGTTTTATTTCCAGCATCTTAGCTTCCATTTTATTTCCAGCGTCTTACTCCCGGCTTGGAACTAGACCCGATTTTGCTTTCAATGGGTGTTTGCAAAACATTTGTGCCTCAGTTTTCATCTTTGTTCTTTGAATATAATAACACTGAATTGTGTCAGGACAATTGTAAGAGCTTTTATTTTTGATGCTGGTTTTACATTGGTTTATATGATGCACTATTTTTACCATTTGCTGCTAATTTTATTTTGTGCTATATTATTGTAATTGTGTATTGTGATGTGTATTTATATTTTTAATTTACCTGCACATTGTCCAGAAAACTCCAGTTACTAAACAGTCTGAAAAACAGACAAAAGGAAAAAATTAATTGATCAATTGATTTATTATAAGGTACCCTGAGACCCTCAGGCACAAAACGTTCCATTAGAACAAATTACTCTTCCTAGCTGTTCTCACAGCAAGATTTAGCGTCCTTGTTTGAATGTGAAAACTTAAACTCTGCTTAGGTTTTTTCAAAATAACCACTTTTCTACTGTCAGTCTTTTATCACCGAAATCTGTGCCTTTCTTCCAACAATTTAGGAGGAAAGTTGATTTACTTCAGGCATCCAATTTGCCACCCCAATCATTTTAATTTATGCTTTTTCAACACCTTATTCAATCCTATTTTCACTGCAGTTCTTACAGCTGGCAGTAAACTACTGTGCAAATGTTGACTTTTCCGCAATGCTGACACCACGTTAAATACCTGTCTGCTTCTGGCAGGTTTTTCTTCCCTTGATGAGAATATTTTAGCCACTGACAGAATCCAAGGCAAGCTGCCAGCGACCCTTGAAATGTGTGCAGAAACTCGATTGGTATTCAGCAGGCTGCTTAGGAAGAAGGAGATCAGCAAGTCTGTAAAAAAAAAAAAAAGAATAAAGTTAAGATTCCCCAAAAGCTATGTGTGTGTAGGTTTATGCAGACACACACACACACACACAGAGAGAGAGGGGGGGGGTGGGAGAGGGAGAGATTTTATTGTATGGGGAAAATGTTCATGTTTAAGATTAATCTATAGTGCTCTGACATGGGGGTTGCAGGGGGGAGGGGGAGAGAGAGAGAGATGTCCTGAAAGAATTATTTAATACTGATATAGTGAAAATTCTGTGCAGAATTAAATTAATTAAAGAAACAAATATGCTTCACTTATTAAAGGTGGTCTCTAACATATATACATAGTGTAGCAATTTAGAACAATTGTTTTGCTATCTAAAGACTATTATAATGTGTTCTTAGCCTAAATTTATGTGATCTTGTATATGTTTGATCAAAAGTAAAACTAGCTAGACAAGGAAGATTTGTTAGAATTTATCATGTATCATATTTGCTATGTCATAGTCCTTCATTAAGTTAGATCTGGCTATTAAATTGGATGGACCTGGCTGCATCTGGTCTGTCTCTGGCTACTAAACTGCACGAAAAAAAGATATTGGCCTGAGAGCTAGTCTTTGGTTGCTGAGAGGACTACTAGTTTGAGGTTCTTCTGCCTAAATTCCTGGTTCAACTACATCATTTTTTTCAGGACAATTGGATAGTTCAGTGCAGTGCAGTGGAATAGCTACTGTAGGAGGCTGTTCTAGGTGGGAGACTCCAATGGCTCCAGATGAAATAAGGAAAGTGATGTCATGGTCTCCCTGCACTAAGTCACAATGGCTGCTGATGGAGTGAATGAAGAGGCAAATAGCAAGAGCAAAATTCTAATTGTAGCAGTTCACAGCCCTGTGAAATGTAAACCTCTTTGTGAGTAGTACCACAAAATTGTAAAGTTGGAAGCAATTAAGTTTAAATGGTGTGCAAGAGATGTTGTGTGTATTGGGAAAGTTGTAGGGGGGTCATGGGTGTGTGTAAGGGATGCCAGGCAAGTCAAATAATAGGGCATGTTGGGGGTAGGGCAGTAAAAATAATGCATAGGTATCACAAGTGTGTGAAAAATGCTGTGCCAATCAGGGATAGCGCACCAGGTGGTGTAAGTTGGGAAGGGTGCCTGCAGTTGCTTGAGAGTGCGCAAGAAGTGCCATACAGATTAGGAACAGCATATTGGGGTGGGGGAGACAAGATGAGTCAGGAAAGGTGGGTGATGATGCTCAAGAAGTGCTACATGGATTGGGAAGGTGCTCAGGAGAGGTGTGGGTTGGGGAGGTTGTATGAGGGCATGCAGGAGGTTCTATGCACATCAATGAAGAGATGTGGGAGGTTGGTGAGGGTTAGGAAGGGTAAATGGTGGCATGCAATGGGCTGTATGGTTCAAGAAAGGCACACAGGTAGGGTGGTCAGGGATGGTACATGGATCAGGGAAAGCATGCAGGGGGGATTAGTGTTGGGTGGGGAAAAGGCAGGTGGGCTGGCACTGGTTCAGAATCACATGATGGGGTGGCATGGATTGGAAAGTATGACAAGGGGTTCCTTCCTCCCTATTCCTTCTTCCCTTCCTCCTTCCCTTTCCAGGAACTGCTGCTCAGTGGGAGAGGGGGGGATTGTGAAACTATCTGGGAAACTGTCACAGAAATTGAAAATGAAGATCACAGCAGCAGCCCAGCAGTGCACAACAGCCAGTAGCACTAAAGCAGCCACAACTTTCCCAAATTTGATTCCCTCAGGAGTTATGGCTTGTGGATTTTGGACACATTCTGTAAGTTAGCCTATTTGAGGTACCTTGTTTCAAAAATTGTTGTCCTATGGTGCACCATTTGGGCCAGTTAAAGATTAGGACAAGAGTTTTAGTAGTAAATAGATGCAATAGCTATGGTTTAATTCCTATCTAAATGTGATGGAGTATGCATGATCTCCAAAAGTTCCAACAGCCACAAGAAAATGTTTGGAGCCATTTGTGATCCTATGGCTATGGCCTGCCAACTTCTGCTTGAATACAAACTCTGTATCTTTATTTGATTTATACAACTTTTTCTTCTGCCAAGTACTCAGAATGATTGTTGATACAGAATAGATGACATTTTTTTAAATATATGGCAACCCTCCACCTCTCCTTGTGCTTTGTTTCCATTTTCCTGATTAGCTTTGCTGCCCATCAGAGATCTCTTCTTTATCTCCTTTTTGAAATATGGTGGCCATGGAATATCTGAAAGGAGAAGAAATGATTAGTTGCCATGATTTGAAAGTCGGACTATAACCAATGCAACTTAAAATTGCATTTGTCATATTGTACTTGTACATTTTCTCCACTAGGTATGGAACTTAATATTAATCTGTATTAAAATTAATGTTGTTATTCTCCACCCTATTTTGTAACCTATCAAGATTAATCTGAATGTTACTTTCATCTTCTAGGACATTATTATTCCACTTAATTTTGTATTATCTGTCATTTAATAAGTATTCCCTTATGATTTCAAGTTTTTAATAAAAATATTGAAGACACAGGTCCCAGAACGGGTTCTACATGTTTTCTTTGATATGACTCTCCTTCAGTTTGACAGAAAGCCATTGACAAGCACTCTTTAAATATAATTCTTCACACACTGTGGCTTCACCTTGTAACAATATCATTTAGTCCATAATTAATCAGCCTGCTAATCATATCATCATATACAAAACTGAATGTTTGGCTGAAGTCATGGTATGTTATATTCACAGCATTCCAATATTCTGTGACTGTGAAAATGCTATTCATTTGAACCTACTTGTAAGCAAATTAATCCACATATTTGTTTTGGTTTTGGTATTAAGGTAACTGATTCATCACAATCTTATTAAATGTAGGAGTGAATAAGGAATGCAGGAAAGGGAAGAAGAAAAGGAAGAAAGGAAGAGAATGTTAGAGCAGCTCATTTTGGAAAATCAGGGTAGAGATCCTTTGCTTTAATTATTTTCCTGGATGCATGAGAGGTTAACTTATACCTCAAAGTATATTAATGATAGTCTCAGTACACTGATGTGATCTGATATATAATTTGAGATTATATGCAATCTGTGTTCTATCATTCCTAAAGAATATAACCTATTTGATTTTCCATTCTATCAGTTTGATCCGTTCATATCTCTTGGCACTGGTTGTTATAATTTGCCTCGCATTTTGCTTGTTCAAGTGTCATCCAATCTCAATTGTTTGTACTTTGTGAGCTCTAGGATCCAGCCCAAATGTGCCAGTGCCTGGATGGTATATTATTATATTATATATAATAACTTTATCAGTAAGGTTTATGCCTTGTTAATGGGTTATAATAAATGAAAATAAACTTAACATTTTTAGAAGAGTAAGTACTGAATGTATAAAAATCTAAACAACATTACTTGTGCATCTTTAATAACCATTTAAGTGTAAGGATTTAAAAAATCTTTAATACCATTAGTAAATTGCCTTAAAAAAGTTTAAAAAAACTTTAAGGCAACTTACTAATAGTATTAAATTATTGTGATAATTATTGTGATATTTTCCAGACATATTTCTACATTAAATAATTCTGGAATTATATATTACACTATGTTATATATCTGTGGGTCCCAAAATTACTTTCATGTAAAAGTTATAGAAATTTTGGAAGTTTCAGTTTTGCAGTTATGTTAGATGTATTAACAATAGCCTTCCTTCCTTCCTTCCTTCCTTCCTTCCTTCCTTCCTTCCTTCCTTCCTTCCTTCCTCCAAACAAAAGCTCAAGAAGATATAAAAACCCACCACTCCCTACTACATGTGGTCAGCTTTCCCAGAGCCATGCTTCTATCTGGCTTTGCTCTTCAATAAACTACAACCTTTTTTCTAAAGCAGTCTCCATTTTGTTTATACCCAGCTTGGACTGGACCTGATAAAGATTTTTCTTTCCACAGAAACATGACTGATGCATTTAGAAATAATGAACAATTCATTGTGTGTGCTCCAAGCATTTGTTGATACAGCCTCAATTAGAACTGATAAATAGAAAACAATATTTTCTGATTAAAGACAGGCAACGATTAAATAAACTATTATAATAACTTTACAGAAAACTAATCTAATTTCACAATCCAAATTTATACATTTGGAAGCACAATCTCATAGAACCAATATACTTTCTTTGGCATAATCAAAGCTAAAAGAAGGGAGAAAGATATCCTATCACCTTTTATCAAGACTTTCTTACATGAGATACTCTGATAGAATTAAAATTACCAGATTCCAGCTCTCACCAGCCCCTATGGGATTAGTAATGATGATCCTTGGCCCTTATTTGCCACATTAGTGTGTGATGTACATCAAAAGAAGTTCTTCAATAGACATGTGAGTTGCAAAAGTTGATACAAAGGTCAATATGAAAGCCACATTCACGTCAAAGAACTTGTCAGAAAAAGAAATCTTCAGGATTATATACTAAGCATCTATCTATTTCACTAGCAAGGCAGCAGGAAAAAATTAAAAGGTCAGGACCACTGACCAATTTATATCTGGTTTAAATTCATCTCCTTTTGAAGTTTCTCAAAGAAACTTGGAAAGATTTTCTATTCTTTATTTTATTGTTCTTATTTTTATTTCTTTTCTATTTTTAAATCCACACCTCTTAAAGTTGCTGAGATTGAAAAACACTGGCATACTCAAATGTTTTATTTACCAACACTGACAATAAAATGTATCATAAGGGAAAGTACCTTTTTGCCCAAGCTATCTAACCCTTTCCATACCCATTTAGTTAAAATTGCCCTTAAAAGCAAAATAAAATCAAACTCCAAGAATGTTTGTCTATTAAAAAATCTCCCTTAAATTCCAGAACAAATGCAAAAAAGGCCTTCTTAAAAATGTAAACAGCAAATACAAAGTTATTGTAAAGTTATATACTTCTTCAACGAGCATCATTAAATTTTAATATGTAAAAATTATGTAGGATAACTAATGAAGTTGATTTTAGTAGGAAAGTGTTGTAAAGTACAGTTTCTCTCTCTCTCTCTCTCTCTCTTTCCTGTTTAGAAAAGGAAATATTTGCATATTGTTCATTTGTTTTATAACATAATAAAGGCAACTTTATTGCTTATCTTAGTAGCCTGTCTAGAAATACATAGTAAAGAAAGTAGTAAAGCGATTTGTAAGTTAATCAGCAATAACAGAAACCTCCGAGGGTGCATTTCAACTCAGGTGTCCTTTTACACTGAGGTCAGTAAGGCTATGAGAATCAAGTTGCACTCTTTAGTATTATGCTTGATTTTCATTGTCTCATTGATCTCATTTTGGCAGTTGTTTTTTAAAAGCAGAATCTATCATTTCAACCCTCTTATTCGAGAATGATTGCTTTCCATGGTACGTTCTTTTCTGGAAGAATACAGGTGATAGAAAACATGACACTAGGAGAAGTGAATTTGACATGCTGCAGCCACAAATTTGCTTCCTAGTCTTTCTAGCTGTAGTCTACCTTGGGCCAGCAGTCATAATTAAGACAATACAGGCCATATTTTTAGAAACAAAGCCTCTCGCATCAATACATTTTCCTTAGCCAGCCACTCACCTGAAGCATTTTTCTTTTTCTACCCTTTCCTAACAATTAGAAGGATGGATAAGAATACTATCCTAGCCCTCAGATTCTTCAGCGTCCTTTCTAAAACTTCTAAATCTAAAGTAATATGGTTGTAACTGCTCTTGCGGGGTTGGGTGGGTATCAATTTCCCCAGTAAAATTCTTTTTTCAGTTTTTGAAAACCTCCCGTGTTTACAACAGTGGATCTATGACAATTCAAGAAAAGAAAATAATGTTCTATTACTGTAGAGTCAACTGTAGACAATAGAATAGAGCAGATTTCTAGTATTTGGACACGTCTGATTGGAAAAGGAATGCACTGACTTTCACACACCCGTTATTGAACCTCTTCTCCCGACAATAGATAGGTCCTTAGTAAAAACTTGACCATCTATGTTTGATAAAATTTAGTGATTGCACTATGGCATATTTTGTATACTGAACTGTGGAGTATGCTGCTTTGATATTTTTGTGTTGTGCTGTCTTATCCTGTTTGTTATTTGCATCCTGCTTAAGATTTGTTGATATAGGGTTATAAATATTTTAATGAATATATAATAAAAAGTGCATTTGACTTTTAAATTACTGTTTACTTTATATACTGGTGCTGATATTTATTTCTATAGTTACACGAAGCACAATTAACCTCAGGACAGCAGGGTAGGCTACAACAAATTAAATCATGGTATACATTTCAACTCATTTGTAACTCTATATCTAATTTTTAGTCCATCTCAACTCCCAGCTTGAGTTTTTTCCCCATAGGGGCCAACATTAATCTTGATATTTGTTAATCTTTGTTTTATCTGAACTTTATTAATATGTCAAAATACATATGGGTATACGTTACTTGGATACGCTTTTGCCTCTGTCTCAATTGTAACAACGCTTACTCCTGCCTTTGGTTCCTAGCTAAGCCTTTATGTGTATTTGGTTAAATAGACCCATTCTCCAGAGTTTACTTGAAGTTAGCTAAATCTATTCTCTGGAGTCCAGAACTTTTGCCAAGAAAACACAGCTAACCTTTGTGTTTCTAGGAAGGGGTTATCACATTTAGCCAGTGACATGTCTATGGTGGTGTCATGATCCAAGCTCTGATGCAACTTTGTAAGTTGCAAGTTTTGCATCATGGCCCCCTATTTCTTGCTCCTTCATGGACCTTCAATAGCTTCAATTGTCAATGCTAACAATTTTGAATAATTTTGCAGGGAAGTTGATCTCCATTGGTCTATGTCTTGAAGAAATGTTACCTCATTTTGTCAACATTTCTGCTGTCTTGGTAACCATGCAAATATGACACAGCTGCAGTTTCATCAGAGAACCCTAGACTCCCATATTATGACCATTCTCCATTCTGAGGACTTTTTACCAAGCTATCAAACAGTTCTTAGTTGGCAGCCACTTTGAGCTGTACGTTGTCCTGAAAATGAACTTTGGCTGAATGCCTCTGGGAAATAAATCAAAATGCTTGGCTTGAGGTGAATCTCACTTGTTTTCTTTTTGCAATAATCAAAATTAAATCAATTGCACTGTTTACACCATTAAAATATTATGGTTGAACCTGTTCTAGTCAGTTAAATGAAACTTTTGTTTCCATTGCAACAAATATAGCAAATCACAAATCACCGCTCCTTCTTTAGAGAGGCAAAGATGCTATAAAGTAAATGCAATCTATAATGCATTTGAACCTTACAACTAAAAGGAGTTCACCCATAGACACTATTTTAGTTCAAAACATTCTTTCATTACTAATTTATTAGCAATAGATACTATTGCTTTACAGTTTCTGAAAAAAATCTTCTTTATTTGTTTATTTGAACGTCATAATCATTTACACAGCTGAAATCTTGTATGCTGGGTGCTTTGCTTCTTATTTCTATTTATGTTCATGAAATATTAAATTGATATGCTCCTCCACATACATGCACACACATGCACTTCTGTGCACATAGGACTCGATAGCTTATATCTTTAAAAATGTTTTGCAGTTTATTACCCAAAGCAAAATAGTAATAGCATAATGTACAGATAAGCCAAAACTTACACAAAGTAAATCCATCTTTCAACCTTATATCACATAATCAACTAACAATTTAAATTTAAATATCCATATACTGTATTATGGTATTATTACTGTTACTACTGCTGATGCTACTAATAATAACAATTCAACAAGTATTCCAAATTCTGCAACTTTAACAGTAGTATGTTCATTATCTACTATGTTAAATATTCTCTGAATGCACACAAAATAAAATTTTGTATAACACTTAAATAACTATATGAAATATAAATGGAATTCTTAATTGCACTAATAGAAGCAGCATTGTTTCTGAGATCTTTTTATCACCGAGGCAAAACCACAGAATTGTTACTAAGAGATAGAGCAGTGGTGGTGAACTTATGGCACGCGTGCCAGAGGCGGCACTTGAAGCCCCCTCTGTGGGCACACATGCCGTTGCCCCAACCTTGCCTCTCCATGACCCCCCTCCTCACCAGCAGCCCCCCTGGAGGAGAGTCGCCCCCGAGCATGGCCCACACAGAGCAGCGTAGCCAAGGACATGGCAGCCAGGCAGCATAGACAAGACCCTGTCCTCGTGCCCCATCGTGCACAGTTGATGCTGCAGGGTGCGGGCAGAGGGCGTGGCCACCATGGCACTGCTGGGCTGCCTGGGTGATCTACGGCGGGCCCTGGAGGCGGTGAGTGGCCCTTCGGGCAGGCAGATTGGGGGCAGGGTGGGGGCACGGCAAAGGGTGGAGTGGGCCAGGGCCAGTTTTTGGGCACTCAGTCTCTAAAAGGTTCGCCATCACTAAGTTAGAGTATCTTTGAATGCAGGGGCTAAAATAAAATCTTCGTTGTGGAGGACTTGTAAAGAAGTTTAATTGTTGAAACCCTATTGGTTGGCTTTCAAATAAATATGAGAAGCATGGGTTTATTGGCTAAGACAGAATAGGATATGAGTGTCTTCCATCAGCAGAGGGAAGATCTGTTGAAGTGAGAGAGAAGTCTGTCTTGGAGGTTCAGGGAAATCTTCCCAGTGTAGATTTATAACTGGTGATGATTCTGAAACCAGCACATCAGAAATAAAGGTAGTACTCAATTTATGACCACAACTGAGCCCAAAATCTCCATTGTTAAGTTGTTAAGTGAGTTGCACCCCATCTTACAATCTTTTTGCCACAGTTAAGTGAATCACTGCAGCTATTAAGTGAATCACACAACTGGGAAGGTTACAAATGATAATCACATGACCTCAGGACACTGCAACTGTCATAGATACATGCCAGATTAAGTGCCATTGTAAATTTGAACAGTCACTAAACAAATAGTTGTAAGTCAAGGACTACCTGTAAGGACGTTATAGGTCTCAATGTTTTCTGAAAAAGCTCTTGCATCAATTCCATTAAAATTAAGTAATTTGACTTCAGAATAACAATGTCCTCTCTGTTTCCCACTGATTCCAATGCAGAATGAAATTCCAGAGTTTAGCTCCTGCTCTGCTATTAATGTGAGGGGAATGAAGGCACTGGGAAAATGTGGGGTTTTTTTAAATTTCCTAACTATTAATATCTGTTTCATTTAAAATAATTATTTAATTGATTTATATATATATATATATATATATATATATATATATATATATATATATATATATATATATATATACATACATAGCTGCTGCCATTCAGGATGAATAATGGGTTTCAAGCTACTTCAGTTATGTTGCCTAGCTTTGAAAGTTTCTCCTATTCATAAATTAAATGAAGTATAAGGGTATGTGCTGATTGGGCTGCTCCAGAGACAATCATCATCCTTGGCATTCAAAACGGTTAATTATTACTCGTACGTTATAAATACATGCTTAATTTAACCCTTTAATTCAACGAAACTATGGTTAATTATTTTAATTTGAGTCATAGTGTTTAAATAAGAGATGATTGGAGAATTAGACATAGCCACAGTCAGTGGGCAGTTTAACAAATAAATAAGACAAGTGAATATTGCCTTGCTGACAGTTAATAATTACCCAGTTTCTTTCTAAGTTAGTCTTCTAATAAGTCTTGCTGAACTTTACATTCCCTTCTTGGATTATCAGGAGTAAACTCTATTTATAATGTACATACATTTCAGCTAAAGCCAATAAACATTTATAATTTTGCACATGGTGGTGTCACTAATTTTTTTTTTTTTTTTTTTTAGTGCCAGTCTGGTCTAGTGGTTAAGACACCACATTAGAAATTGGGAGACCATGAAACACAGTCAGAGTCACACTCTGTCAGTCCTAGGAAGGAGGCAGTGACAAACCAGTTCTGAAAATCATTTCTGGCATGCTTCTATGGAAATTTGGAAGTTGGGGCTGGAGATACCCACACTGTTTTCTCTTTAACAATAAATAAAGCCTGATATCTAGCAAAAATAATAATGGCCATCATCCAAAAGTAGAACTGTCCAGGGTTTATTTCACTGACACTAGGGTCTTCCTTTAAAGTAGATAATGTGAAAATCTGTGAACAGCTAGGTGTTGGATTTTAATCATAGGTTAGACACCAATAGTTGCAATTGGTGAAATGGGAGGCTACATAGATTGATTAAATAAATATGAATAAATAAATATGTGTAATATTCATTTATTTTTGATTCATTTCAGACACATTACATATGGTAGTATATACAGAGACAGTGTTGGTCATGCTTGACAATTACTTTTGGTGGAGCCAGGATGGAGGTGGCCCATTTATCTCCTTGATGTCTCATTGGCTTTCAGTACCACTCATTGAGGCATCTTTCTGGACTGGGTTCAGAGTGGGAAGCGCAGTGTTGCAATGGTTCACTCTTTTTCCTCAATGGTCATTTCCAGTTGGTGTTGTTGGGAGGGGAAAGATTTTGTTCCCGATCCCTCTTGTCAAAAGATCTCTATCAAACAGTTGGATGAGATCATCTGTCAGTTTGGGATTGGCATCATCAGTATGCCAATGGAATTCATCCATACAGAAATACAAAAGTTTAAATTAGTGAAATAAAATCATTGACATTTAAGAGGTTGATTCAAGAATCCCATCTTGATTGCTTTTTCAAAGGCAGTGAGTGCTTGAATGGTAATTTAATTTCTTTTCTTATGTGTTTGCACTCTCAGACTAGAGAGGTATAGGCAATTAATTTGTCTGGGCATTATATGGGTAGCCCTTGGATAACAATAATAGTTGGATCCAAATTCCCATTGCTAAGTGATGCTTGCAATAAAGCGCAAAGGCTTGTGACTACATTGCTTTACCAGACAGAGTTCCAGCACTTCTGGTTGTTGTTATGTGAATCCAGAACCCTCATTAAGCACAACACTATGTGATCACTGTTTGTGACCTCCTCTTAGTTTCTCCATTGACTTTGCCTTTTAGAAGATGGCAATCACATGACATGGGATGCTGCAACATTGTAGTGGTGAACCAATTTCCAAGTTCCCAGCTCAAATCATGTGACTACAGGGATGCTGCTGTTGAAAAATGAAAAAATCTTCATCAGGGTCCAGTCCAAGCTGGGAATAAACAAAATGGATACTGCTTTAGAAAGAAGGTTGTGGTTTATTGAAGAGCAGAGCCAGAAAGAGGGCTCTGGGGAAGCTGACCACATGTAGCTGAGAGTGCTGGGGTTTTTATACCTTTTGGGGCTTTTGAGTTTGTTTCCTGTTCCTGTTTGAAGCTTTGTATTTCCTGTGTCATGTACTTTGACCTAAGTCTGAGTGTGCCCTTTTGGTATTGGTGGGTTAATCCTATTATGTTTCCTGTCCTTAGAGTTTGGGTGGGGTATGTAGATTTTAGGGGTCTTTGTCTTCCTAATCTCATCAGTTTCTAGCTTCCTGGCTCCAGCCTTTCTGAAAGGATTATCACATCTGCATTTCTAAAAGCTGGCTTCTGCCTAGTTTCTGCTTGGGGGAGAGGGGCTGGAGCTGGTTTCTGTCTTTTTTAACATCTTCTCCATTATTCCTTTGGAGAAATATATTCTGCCTTTTTAATATTCCCCAAAATATTTCTTTCTCTGGATTCTTCCCACAATAACTCTACCTTTCAGCTGGACTTGCAACTCCAGGAATTTTCTGTTTCTTTTGCTGTCACTTCTCTGCTGCCTTCCTTTCTTGCCACATCCACACAAGCTTACCTGTGGGTTCCAATTTATTGGACAAACCCTCCAGTTAATGGGGGGGGAGAAGGGGTTGCTTTCTACCTCCTTTCCAGGCAGTAGAACCAAAACTTGGGACCCCAGGAGGAAAAAGAAATGCCTTTTCACTCTGAGTGGTGAGTTCAGTCTTCTACCATCTAGAAGATGAAGGAGAGGTTTCCTTGTGACAAAGAGGGTGTTCAGATCCCATATTCATTGCCTACCTCACAAGATTATCAGGAGCAGCATGAAGTTCCTTCTTCCATCACAGTTTTCTTCCATTTGCTTGTACGGGTA